GTCGGAGGCCAGTAATGTAGTGGATGGCAGTGATGCTATCGGTATAAACGATGATGGTTTTGTTACGGGGGAACCAATCGGTGAAAACGTAGTCGATTGCCTTAGTAATAGCAAGTATTTCCGCTTGGGGGACGGAACAATGAGGACCTAATTTGAAGGCAGACTTATGAGTGTCGCCGTTTTGATGGTTAATAAGAACAAACGCTGCCCCCACATTCTCGTTGTCCTTGGACCCATCGGTGTAGATGGAGATGTCACAGGTATCATCATGAGGAAGGGTGTAACTACTGATGGTAGGGTAGCCTACCGTCATATTAGAGTTAGCATCCTTCACCTCAATACCGTAGGATTTGATATCTTCCTTTACTTGCTCAGGGAGATCAGAAAGCATAGTATTATTCTTATTGATGCTGCAGAGGTAGTTGCTGGTGCCTAAGTTGTTAATGTTCCAGATCCTGGCTGCCATTTTGGCTTTTATGTGGACAGGAAGCAGACCAGCAATGACCAGAAGGGCAGAGGTCGGGGCCAACCAGTAAGCCCTGCAGATCCTAAGAGCTGCAATGCGCTGCGCCTTAGAAAGCTTCCTTTGAATGTGAACCTTCTGTGCAGCCTCCGCCCAGATCGGAGCCGCATAGAGCAAAATAGGTTCAATTGCTCCTAGATTCAAACCAGCCATTGGTAGCCACGAATTTAACACTGATTTCATCAGCAGACCAGTGGCATGGTGTAGTGGGGGCGACAGGGGCAGCCCGCCTCGGGCGGCACTTTTAGGGGGCGGCAAAATTTCACAATAAATAATAATAATATCTTGTAAAAATTTGAACCATTTCATTTCATATTTTTGTCACACCTACGATTCGGACTGATTGAAATGAGCATAGAATTGTTCATTACTTATTCTGTGAGGAAACTGAATTTTAGTCTTTTAAATTGAGATATCTAAATAGGAGGGCAGCGAAATTTTCCTCCGCCCCGGGCGGCTGACACCCACACTACGCCACTGCAGCTGACTATTGTCCCATTTGTTTTAAATAATCAAATATTTTTAAGGCTTTGTGTTTAAGTGCAGTTTTATTTAAAGGCAACCATTTCTTGTTCATATCTTCTACCCATAATATTAGCCCATTTTTGTTCCATTTCTTGTTCCATTTTTTACATTATAGGTGTTCTCGGACTAGCAACATTTTTCACAAGAATAGATGATCTGGATGCAACCAAATTTCTAATCTTTTCTCCCGATTGCTTAATCGACTGAATATTCATTTAAATTAAAACGCCTACTAATATCAGCTATCTGCTCTTGATTTTTAATTCGATCCAAAATTTCTATCTTTGAAGAGTTATAAATTTCCTTTTTAATTACGGTCTTTTCTTTTCATTCAGCATTGCTATGGCTAAAACTTTTTTAATCAGTTTTGTGGACAGTAAAAATCGCAAAAAATAACTTTTCTTCACTATGTTGTTAAAAATATACACCCAATAGAAGTTTATACTGTATTTTGGACCATTTTTTGCTGTTCCCACTTATTGAAACAGTATAAATGATGGAAAATTTAGTGATATATTTGAGTGTTTACAGTAACTGATGCACATCTGTCTAGAAACTGGTCTTCCCCTGAAACTTTCAAGGGAATAAATAACACACCAACAGTGACAAACAGTTGTTTTCAAGGACATTTAGTCTTGTATGCCGAAATGCGGTTCATATCACGTGATCCATTGCGATTTTTCTGTTATGTGAAAGATAATTCGTTTCTAAATACCATAAACAGCATTGTAAAAGTACCGCGTTGTAAGAAAATTTCCGCATTTTTCCAACCGCGTTGGAGCGAAAACACATTGTAAAGGTACCGCGTTGTAGGAGGCCTACCTGTAATACAATTAATATTACAATGTTAACTATAAATTGAAGTTTAAAATAACATCAACGGTTATGTTGTAACTTATCTGTTGTAACTTGATCTGAGTGTCAGGTCAAAGGTGGAAATTCCTACATACTTTTCAAATGTCTAAGGGAGTTCTTATGTAGTCGTCACCCCAGTCAGTTGTATCCGAGAGTGAATAAAGTTAATTGTTAATTAACTACATGTTTTTATGTGAAACAGTGTTGAAAACAAAATTGATATAAAAGGTTATGTACATTTTACTTTGATTAAAATAGTTGGCAAGTTCCCTTGCAACATTAACCCCCATATTCACCAACGCGAGTTAATTAATTAATTAAACAGAGAGTTGACGAACTCAAGTTTAGATGTAACTCAAAGTCAGATTACGAGTTACTCTTCTTTCATATTCAGATAAAAGTATAACTCTAGAGTTTCGCTACTCTAGAGTTAGTTAATGTTTTAAAACAGTCCTGCGTTTGAGATTAAACAAGTCTTCTTTCGTAAGCAGAATCTTGATTGGTTGAAAGCAAACACGTGTAGAAAATGGCGGAAAGTGAAACGGAAAATAGTGCATGCCGAACTGAAATGTTCCCGTGGCATAAAAACATAGAACCAACAACAGTTGTTCCATCGGCGACATCGGATAATTTTTCGATGATGTAGAAAGTAAATTGTAACCAATTCGTTCTAGTATGTTTTTTACACTCTCTTTTGGCAAACGATATCGACATAGAAAGTCGTAATTGTCCAATTGTTCAAGGTCATTTCTTCTTGGAGAAATAATCCACTGACTTCTTCGTTCCATACGATCTATATAATCTAGATATATAATCTAGATATTTCAGATTTTTTAGCATCTCGGCTTCGTCCTAGTCGAATGTCACCATTTTTCTTTCAAATAGATCGCTTTGTGCAAGCATGAAACCTAGAGTTATCGTCTACTCGCTGATTTTTTAGAGTTAGAGTTAGGGTTATTGTGTTTGACTCAAGATTCGGAGTTGGTGAATACCAATTTGCCAATAACTCGAGAGTTAACCCTAACTCTAACTCTAACTCATGTTGGTGAATACGGGGGTAAACCATACTATTTACAAAGCAGATCCATCCTATTAAATGACTATTTATAGAGACATATTATCTACTTTTTAAAATTTATATTCAGCCACCACGACTCTTTGTTCTCTTCCTAAATTATCATTTATTTTCTTTTTTTATGTACAAATGTTCTATAAGTTGTCATTTGTATGTATTTTGTTTTCTTATTCTGATATTTTGATAGTGTTTAGTTTACTCTGACATCCATTTGAATTACAGTGCTTAGCAACAACAGAATATTAGGCTGCAATTTCAAAAGTTGTAGATATATAAATTCCCACTGGCATCCATTATTGACAAGAGTATGTCTTGTTTATAAAATCGTACTGCCCAATTTTCTTACGAGCATAAAGGTATGAAGGAGTACATGTCGAGGGTTGATTTGGCACAGAGTATTAGGTGCCCAAATCATTTGAGCATAAAAGAATCCAGACTTGTAGGTATTCTGGGGACCGAGAATTGAGTCAAAATAAAATACAGAATGGCGACCCTCTTCTGCAAACAGGCGAAACAGCCACCTCACCCCACCGAAGTCAGGTAGGGAAGAGTACCACCCACAATCATTCTAAGAAGTGAACTCTGACCTTAGGACTGAACACGTAGTTTCTTCTATGTTAAATAAAATTTGTAATTTAATTTTGTAAATTCCGAGTGCTTCAAATATGACATTAAAACGGTTTTATATCGTTACAAGTGGGTTTTTTAACATTATCTAGTATAGTAAAATTGTAGGACTGACAAAAATTTGATGTTATATTAGGGTTGTCATTACATTCAATGACATTATAATCGGGTTAAACTGTATATCGTTTGTGCAAAATAAAAAAATAATTTCAGATGATACAATAGCCACGATTATTTTTTTCAAAAACGGGAACTTTTCGTTACGCATCGACAAAAATTCAACCCGGGCCGACACGCAATGGAGAGAAATTTCGAAATTAGATAGGTTAATTTCATCGAAGATGCATCGTGGACAATCTCATGGTCATGGCCGGTGAAGTTTGAATGATTGCACCCAAAAGCAGCGATATCAAAGAAGATAGGAGAATGAGAACGAGACCTGCCTTGAGCATCAAAGTGATTCTGTTTCCGAGACATAGTCTTGTCCCAAATATGGTTTTGCCATTTTACTTGTCTGACTGTCTGTTCTTCCTTAATCTTGAGAATAAGCATTAGATAGATGAAAGTTGAGACCAAAAATGGAAAGCTTAAAAGCAGGAGGCCTTGATTAACTATATACGAATTTCCAGTTTGTACCGGAAGTCACATTATTTCAGTTTAAAAATTTTTCCCTGAACAGATTTAGATAAATGACTGGCATGACTCTGTTGTCAACAGGAAAAGTATGTTGTACAGAGGCAAGACTACCAAAATTGATAAATTGTGATAAATATTTCAGTTGGCATTGTGATGATTTATTTATTTATTTATTTATTTAGGTACAAAACTTAGTACATAACCTGATTCCGCTAATGGCATTATCAGGAAGTATAATACAGAATTAATATTTACATGTAATATCAAAATATTGTTTAAAACATTAAAAGATATTTAACAAATGTTAAGGTGGACAGTAAAAATAAAAATTAACATGAGAATAAAGTTTACAAGAAAGCCTAATTTCTTATCAGGGAAAGAACCGTAGTATTGTATGATGCCAAGAGATGAATGTGAAAATTACAATAATGTAGAAATAATCAATGAAAGGCAACAGAAGATGTTGAGAATAAATGCACTAGTTGAAGTTCTGACTGTTATTTATATAGTTGACTTGTTTGCAGAGTCTTTCAAAGGCCATATAGGTGTTCTTAGAGGACCAAATCTCGGACGGCTTGCAAGGCCAAGCTATTCCTTGATCCTGTGTCGCCATTCGAAGTTCGAGTCGCTCCCTTTCAAAAGTTGGGCAACGGAAAAGATAATGTAACGATCCATCCTCTTCCATTTTGCAAGTAGGGCAGATCTTTGAGTTGCAATGATTGAATCTTTCTAGATAAGTGGCGAACTTGCCATGGTTTGTAAGAAACTGCGAAATGTAATGGGTAGGGCTATACCACTTATTATTATTAAATTCTTTCAAGTTTGTGATGAATTTATAAGTAATATGTTCGCTGTGTTGGTTCCACCTTTCCTGCCATTGATGGATGGTTTCTATTCTTAAAATATTGCAAATTATTCTTTTACTAATTTTATTGTATGCTATTGGTAGGGTGTCTTCCGCTGCAGCTTCCTTCGCCAGGAAGTCAGCTCTCTCATTGCCGATTTCGCCCTGATGGGCTCTTACCCATTCAATATTGTATTTGTTTGTCGATAAGTATATCAGCTCTCTTATTTTTTCGGCAATTGGGTGTAGATTTCTGTTTTTAATGGTTTGAACCGATGAGAACGAATCCGTATAGATGTTTATCTTGTTATTATTGAAGTTGCTGTTAGTATATTCAATGGCCATTTTTATAGCCCACATTTCGGCTTGAAAGATCGTACATTCGTTAAGCAAACGAAATTTACAGTAGTTTGTTTCATTACCGTTTTTATATATAACGTAGCTGCATCCCACTTTGTTATTATGATTGGAACCATCTGTATATATAAGTATGGTATCTTCTGTTATGGTATTATCTTGGCTTAGTATGGAATTCTCCGATGAGATAGTGCAGCTAAATGATGATGGCCATTCGACATCATGGTAATTTATGTCTCTGGTTCCAATTTTGATATTTTCTCCTCTTTTAAGTCTAAATAATTTTTTCTTTTCGTCAATTATAAGGTCAATCGGCGGTTTTCTAGTTATTACTTGCAAGCACACATTGCTTGTAGTTCTATATGCTTTTGAAATCAATAGTAGAATGCGTCTTTGGGACGAGATCATTTTTCTCCTGGGGTGGACCTTGGAAATGGCCCATCCCCAGGTACCACAAGCATATGTTATTGTTGGTATATATATGCCATCATAAATTATTGACAATGATTTCGAGGTTAGACCCCATTTCTGTTTGGCGACTTGGGAGAAGATCTGGCAAATCAGGCCAGTACGTTCAGTAATGTGAGTGATATGACTGTCCCATGCCAGCCTAAAATCTAATATGACTCCTAAGTATCTTAACGATTTCTCAACCTTAATTGTTGTCCCGTTCATCTTCAGATGCGGAGGTCTTGCGTAAAGATTGGCTTTTCTCGGTTTGTTGAAAACAATTGCTTTTGTTTTGTTGGTGTTGAATTTTAATTTGTGCCTGTCACCCCAATTATATATCCCTTGCAGTAAACCATTTCCTTTTGCCTCTAATTCAGCCCTAGATCTTCCTCCTACTAGCATAAATACATCATCGGCGTATGCTATACAGTATGTTTGTCCAAAATCATTGCTAAGAAAGCTGTCGAACATAATAACCAAGGTTTATGGTAATGTGATGAATGAAGCTTCAGTTCAAAACAAACGGTAGGGACTGTTGTCCAGAGGCATTTGCTCTCCTTTTCATCACTTGCCTTCTCTCTTCCTCTTCTTTCACCATCTTTTCAACCTCCAGGTTGTACCTTTGAGGCAGCCCTTTCTTTGTAGTAGTAGTAGTAGAGCCCAGAGGCATTGTGCTTCTTCAGGATAACACATGTTCTCATGCTGCTGCGTTGACAAACTTGCTTCAGCAGTTTAAGTGGGAAGTTTTTGAACATCCTTCTTATAGCCCGGACTAGGCTCCGAGTGATTACATCTTGTCCCAAAATTAAAGGATATTTCAGCCAGGAATCACTATGGAAGTGACAACGAACTGAAGGAGGCCATTAATGACTGATTCAAGAACTTGGCAGTAACTGAGTGTGCAGAAGGCATAGAAAAGCTGATGATATGCTATGACAAATGTTTAAATTTGTATGGCAAATATGTAGAAATATGTACTATAAATTTGCCAGACTCACGACAATAGATAACCGATTCACATCACACTAATGTTGCCAAATACAGTATTACTAATGACATACACAAGGGTTGATTGTTCAATTCGTTCCTGATCGAACAATTTTTCCTTTCTCCCTTTTTAGTAAGAACATGTTCTAATTAAAAAGGGAGAAAGGAAAGGATTCATCCAAAACTCATCTTATGGTCTTCCTTTCAGCACAGTTTCCTTTATTTGGAGATGGGCCATTTCGGCAGGAGCATTCATAGAATTCGCATGGATTCTATGGATTGGATGGCTGCTGTTCAAATCTAGACGTAATTATGCACACAGTACCTTTCAAGGAGACTCTAGCAACTCAGTCAACAGACCTTGAAAAATTATCTGGGGATCTTTATCCCTTCACTTTTAAAATGATTGTCTTGTCCACTCCAGAGCAAGGTCAGTAGCTCACATTCAGGTCCATCTCAGATGGGATCCTCATGTGATACTTCCTGCTATGGTGATCACCTCTGGAAAAACTGAACTGCCCGAGCAAAAGAGAAAATCGCTTTGTCTCTGCCAATCGTTAGGCCTACAGGACATTAGTGTACATAGTGTCTACATATTTTTGGAAGATCCCTAAAATATATCAAAACTTGCTAAATTCCTTTTCTGCTACTGTCCAATTAAACAAAAAGTTGCCCCGATTAACTGATTAAATTATGTATTAATTTATTACTTTGGTTTGTGTTCTTTGAGATTTGGTCCAATAAAGCGTTTGCTTCGATTAACCGGTGGCTCGATTAAATGAAATTGACTGTATTTAGTTATATCTAATGTTGTTTAAGTATTTAAGTGAACTCTATTTTAATAGGCAAGTGGAATATCTGGTGTTAATTTTACCAACTGGTCTAAAACCTTCAGCTGTGTGCCGGAATTGTTGTTTGCACCCAAGACAAATGACGAAATTGCTCAAGTATGAATGATACTTCTAAATATTAATAAAAGCAATATTATAATTTTAAATGATTAATTGTATTTTCTTCTTTTGTTTCTAATTAGATTCTTGCATTGGCTACAGATGAAAAAAAGCATGTGCGTGTTGTTGGATGTGGACATTCACCATCAGACATAGCATGTACAGAAGATTATATGATTAGTTTACAGCATATGAACAAAGTTGTTGAGGTAAATCATATACTAGCAGATGAGCCGGGCATTTCTCGGGCAAAAAGTAATGATAACAAAGATTAAGATTATTAAACTATAGTCAGTCTTACCTATTTTCACTGGGTGCAAGAATTATGTCCCCATCTTTCAAGACTAATTAGAGAATTTTTAGATATCTGCTTACTATGCCAGGATAATGATAATTAAGACTCACTGCAACCATTAACCAGTGCGTAGTACCACTAAGTGATGAATAACAAACATTTTCATGATCCTTTCTGGGTTCTTCTTCAGGTTTACTTAATTCCGGAAATAAGCTGGATTTTTCTGAATCATTCATAAATATAAATTCAAACATTTTACGTTCTTTGTTATTGTTTTAGCACTGAAGAGGGACTGGAAAATATTAGACCAGCCCGAAATGCATTTGATGTAGTCTTTACAAAATAAATTTAATTTGCCAATACGATTGCTGTGAGATTTGTCCACCAAGAATAATTTTGGATTACAGAGGCTAAAATTGTCATATTAACTAATATACAGCAAACCATTTATATATATTTTGATAAATTCAAACATTAAAACGAAAAGTTTGAATAAAGCAAACTTATATTCAAGGACTCAACGTGTCAACTTTAAATACAATGGAATGCTAAATATTGGTTGAGAATTTTTAGAAGGGTCTAAAAATTTATTCAATTTTCTGCAAAAATGCAAAAAAAGGCATCTAAAATAGTACAGTAGAAGCTGAGTTCTTCGGGGTAATCCTTAATTCTTAACCTCTCCCTCTCCCCCACAGGAGGAATTTCCAAAAATCCCTTCTTAGTGTGCATTCTTGTGATGTACCCTAACTGTGTACCCTAACTGTGTACCAAATTTCAATTTTCAACTCCTAACCGTTTGGGCTCTGTGCTTATTATCAACCCATCTCAATTATACTATAGCTAAATATACAGTAGAGCATCGATTATCTGACTCATTTGGGGACTGGGGTTGGTTGGATAACTGAAAAAACGGATAATCAAAAAGTATGAAAAAATACATTATTAGTATAGTATATTAGTATATTGCTATTAACCTACTTCACGTTGAATTTTCATTGATGTTAAGCCTAACAAAATTTTTTTTAAAATAATAATCATTGCTGTTGTATCATTAAAAATTATATCTTTATTTTGCACAAAATAAATACAGTACTGTACTGTATATTGAAAAATATAAAAGAAAAAAATATATACAGTATCCGGGTTACATATTTTATGTACAGTAGGCCTATACATTAGAAAAAGTCCAAAAGTCCAAAATTTTCTTTTGCTTCACAGCTGACACTCATTTTTTTGCTGCTAAATCTTGCACACATTTTAAAAACAGGAATTGGCTAGCATGACATTCCTCTTGCTGTTCTAACCACTTCATAGCTGTTTCAAGGCTGTGAAAAGCTTCCTCACTGTATAGTCCTTTTTCAGCATGGTTGTTGTTGCAAGGGTCTTGGTTGTCGATGTCAGTGGCAATGATTTCATTGTCCGACAATATTTGATAGCCAGGGTCATTGGAATCACATTCGAGCCAGTCTTGAATGTTTTCGTTGTCGTATTCTTCAAATTTATAACATTCTTTAATCAGCCCACACAGATGTGATACAAATTGGCTGTTTGGTGGTTCTTCGGGTGCAGTGATAGTCATTCGATGGTAGGAGCTTATTCCAAGCTGTTACTAGTGTAGTGTCCTTGACAGTAACCCAAGCATCTGCTGCCATGTACAGTAATATCGTTTGAAGCTTTCAATGACCCCTTGGTCCATCAGTTGGAAAATTGAAGTAATGTTGGGAGGCAAGTAAACAACTTTAAACTTTCCGTTTTCTCTTTCCAGTGAAATGTTTGAGGGATGACTTGGGGCATTATCAATCAACAACAAAACATTTCCAGTATTCCCAGTTTTAAGCTGATGCTTTTTGACTTCAGGGATAATACAGTGTCATACCATTCTATAAAAATGCTTGTATCCATCCATGAATTCTTTTGATTTTTGTGGATGACTGGCAATTTTTTTATTTCCTTAAAGCACTGTGGATTTTTAGACTTTCCTACGATTAGCAAAGGTAGCCTGTGCATTCCAGTAACATTTCCTCATACCATAACAGTAATGCGTGATTTTCTTGCCTTAAAACCAGGTGCTGACATTTCATTCTTAGAAACTAGGGTTTTTGTTGGCATTTTCTTCCAGTACAAACCAGTTTCATCTACATTGTAGACATTGGTTTTTTTGTAACCATCCTTATCAATCATGTTTTTAAAAGAGTTTTTCAAACGTTTAGCTGATTCAGTATCAGCCAACAATTTTTCACCCTGGATGTCCAATTCCCTAATTCCATGTCTAGATTTGAAATGCATAAGCCAGCCGGTATTTGCTTGAAAATCAGCGTTATCCCCTAATTTCTTGTTCATTTGAACAGCTTTTTCACAGATCAAAGGGCCACTTATTGGTTGTCCTTATTGATTGTACCGACATGTACCAAGTGTAAACTTCAGTGTCTAAATCCTTGTTTTCTGCCATTTTCATTGTTTTTCTGTGCAAGTTTCCATCCTCATTGTCAAGTACACTCGCAAGTTTTTTAATAGCATCACTGTTCTTTTTAATGTCTGTTATTGTGGTTTTTCTAACTCCATATTTCCGAGCTAAGCTTAATTTACTAGCACCACTTTTCAACTGATCTATTATTTTAAGTTTATCAGAAACGTTGAAAACAACACGTTTACGTTTAGTCGTCATTGCGAACAGTACAACAACTATAGCACGATCTGTTACAAGTGTGAAATTCACAGATCAAAAATTTATATCTCCAATGAAAACAGATTCCAATTCAGCACCACACACAGTCCTCAGAAAAATCCACACAAAACAAACAACCACTCATAATTAGAAAATTAAACCTCATTTAAATACTGGCCTCCCTTTTATGGTCGAGCCAGTGTCACGCCAGCTAAAACATGCAAAAATGTCTTGCTACTTTAATATTATTTTAACAAAAATAATATTAAAGTAGCCAAGACATAGCCAAATATTGTAGTACCACATCACTAACAGACATTTGAATGTGCCGACTAGAACGTGGTCGGTTAACCGATGTGACAGTTGATCAGGGCTCGGATAATCGATGCTCTACTGTATATATATATGTATGTATGTATATATGTATGTATGTATATATATATGTATATATATATATTTAGCTTAAAACCATCGAGAACATTTTTCCATTGTTCGAGGAATAGAAATAGTGGCATTAAGAATCAGTGAATCATCATAAAACTTTTATTATGAATAGTCTGTATTGGAAACAAGTGGGCAAAGTCTGTGGTAGTGAATAAGTGAAATAGAAACATGGTATGAGCAGAAATAGGGATTGGGCCATCAAGGGTGGCCAGGGAAAAACATAAAAATGGCAACACCAGGAATCATTGAATCGTCACAAAATTTCTGAACAATTGGATGAAGCCTTTGGGGCAAACAGGTGACAAAGCTCCTAGTATAAATGTAAACTTTTAGTACAGAAATAAAATTTAAATATAAACATGCAGAATGAAACATTTACCTTTATTTTCAATTAGTTATGAAACTAATAGCTTAAATAATATAATTATTATAACTAAAAAATATGTAGGTAATATTGACTAAACTTAATGTCAAAAGTTTATTTGTCCGTTAGTATTTGCATATTTGAAAGTGTTTTATGTATTACTGTATATTAATTTAAAATTTTTAAAATGTTTTTAAATGTATCTTTGTGTTTTGATAGGTGGATGAAGTTAACAAACAAGTGAAAGTACAAGCTGGTATTACTTTGAGGGATTTAAATGAAATTCATCTACCTAAATATAAACTTGCATTATCTGTGTAGGTGTTAAACATATTACATATTATTTATCTCTGTGAATAATTACGATGCAATTTTAGAATTATTTCTTAATTTAGATTAGGGTCAGTTTCTGATTTGACCATTGGTGGAGCTATAAGTACGGGAACACATGGCACAGGAATCAACTTTGGAAACCTTTGTAGTTATGTAAGTATATAAATTTTTAAATTATAGAATGTCCCTTACCGCCTTATAATTTAAACATCCAAGTAAATCGTTATCTTTGCAATTGTTTTCGGTGTAATTATATGACCTGTAATTGCCCCAGCTCTGAATTGCATTTATAGCAATTTCACTTCCCATGTATATATTCTGATTAATGAACTTCAGACAGTTTTTTGGGCCTCGCATGTTAGGACAGTTCTTGCCCCACTTTTCTGCCATTTCTGCCAATTTTTCATTCCACATCTAAAATTAATCCCCCATTACATAAATTAAGATAAAAATTAGACACGAAACGTTTAAAATTAATTGTTATTAAATACACAGTAGAAATAAGAAATTTAATAAGTAGAATCATATTCCACAAGCGGAGTTTTTCAAATATTTTAGTTGGGAATCTTTTCCATGTTACAATTTAACCTCTCCTCAAATGGCAATGATGGGAGCATAAGTGCACACCACGACTTTTATAAACACTCTGTATATTGAACTTTCTAAACTATTTCTGAAATAATATTTAAATAACGTATTTCCTCGATTAAACTTCTATAAATCGGGGGAAACCCTCGACTTATGAACTCAAACGAGACTTTCTCCTGCTGAGTATTCGAAAATTTTAAAGCGGAGCGTTAGCGAAGATTCTATTCTATGTAGTTCACATAATGTGCTCGTTCTCAAAATTTGATGGGCCGATTTTGATAAATCTTTGCCATTTTTCCATTAATTGCGATGAGGGATCAAAAATGTAATAAAAATGGGGGGTCCGTGGCTTTGTGTTCGAGATAGAGTAGAGTCAAAGTGACAATGTTCGTGCTCCCTGCGCGATTGAGTGTGCCAAAGAAATTTAGGGGGCGAAAATGAGATTAAAAACAATATTGGCAANAAGCACAGAATTTGAAAAAATATATAATTTGTAATTCAATAAAACCCTTCACTAAAATGACTTAATTTTGAATATAGATTGCTTATTATTAAAATTCAGTATGCTGAAAGTTATTAATGGATGTATAGAATTTATACAGCGTATAAAATCATAAAGTTCATTATTATTTTTTCTTAATACCAAATTTTGAAGTTAGATACTAATCTTCAGGTAAAATAGTCCCTTTAACATCTGCAGCTGTGTAATTAGAAATAATAAAGTTTGGTGATTTATTCCTAGAATCCAGGGGTCCCAACCCTTTTTACATATCAACTGATTACTTTTAAGAAAAATTTTTTCCATTAACTTCCTTTAATATTGTATTATTAATATATATGCAATAACTTTCTACATGTATTTGAGAACAAAAAATTGTAAAATTTTTAATATTTTTAAATAAATATCTTTATATTTTCAAAGTTAGTATTAATGTATTTCTTATGTTTCATTATTATCATCTTTAATGGTATTTTAGTGATTTTACTTCTTGTAACAACACAAATCTGGCTCTTTTACACATATATTTTCTATCTTTTCATATAAATTCCAGGAGTTAATTTACACACATTATATAATTACACAGGAATATAATTGGAATTTTAAATATAAATTGTCAAACTTAACAATTTATAAGTTAAATATGCCATAAAAACTGACATCAGAAACTTTGTCAAATTTAGCAGGAATTAATTTATACAGTGAAAAATAAATATGCTTAACTTACTAAATCTTAATTATTTAAATACTTTGAGAATCATTATTTAACATAGCTTCCTATATAATTTTAAGCTTATTGAGTATGACATCATAAAGAAACTGTTATAAAAAACATGAAGACAAGTGTAATAAATTCAAGCAAACTTTTGATGAAAATTGACAAATATTTTTGGCTATGTTAATAAGTCTGAAGCAAGCCTATTAACAAGTATGATATTTAACAGGTTTAAGATTTATGATCTGAAGGCCTATTAATGAAGCAAAAAACATTTGTCAATTTTCATTAAAAGTTTGCTGAAATTTATAATGATTGTCTTTGTGATAGAGATAAAATTTTTTTTTTTTTTTTTCAGTTTGAGTAACCTATAGAAACTCTTATAATAGAAAATTATGTAATATGCAAATATATAAAAAGAATTCTACTTGCTTAATATTAAAAACTTAATTGTATAAAAATAAATATAAAATTAACAAAGATAAATATACTTTGCTTCCCTTATTCATTTGTCATTTGCTCCAGTTGATCATCCACAATTTCACAAACATGGAGGCGACCTTTCTTTTGAGGCTATTGCCTCTGCAATAAAATGCAAATATGATAAAAACATCATCTGATGCTGTCACCATCTTCACATAACTTACATTTTTAAGTAAAAATAAATATAAACACATTATTATATTTATCTTTGTTAAACATTGCAATTTTATATTTATTTATACAATTAAATGTAATACCGTCGGCCGTGTGTTTATATTTATTTTTACTTAAAAATTAAAAACTTGCTTAATTTTTGTTATTAAAGCATTAATTAAACATTTAATTATTTAAATGCTTTATTCTATTTTTAAATTTTGTTTCTGATTTGAAGGCATTGTAAATATTAAAATTAAAAGTACTCGTTATTATTTTAATTTCTTTGAGTAATTTTAAAATATACTAAATCTTTGAGGACATGCATTTTGAATTTTTAGCACAAGTTAAAATTATTTTATTGTGTTAATAAAGAATACGATGTTTTGTAATTTAAGATAAAATATTAGCATATTTAAACTGACTTTTATATTTAAATATCACTAACAAAACTTTCAATAGCTTTCATTCCACTTTTATTGTTGTAGTGTAATGGAACTTTAGTTCATTTCAAATAGAGATTTTAATAATTTCTAACTCAGAATTATAAATTAACAACTGTGTGTGTCCTGAGACTTTGCTAGAATGTAAATTTTCCTCAAGTTATCTTGTTTAAAATAACATGATAATAGGATGTATCAAAAATATATTGTTGCTTTATTATTTTCACATCCAGGAAGTGATCTCATCATATATAGAGTATAGTAAAGTGAACAAACATATATATATTTGTGAATTTGATATCACCTTCAAACAGCAATTAACCTATTTTCTTTCCTTCATTTCCTGGATAAACTCATTGGAATTATTTTGTTCTGTTCTCAGCATTCTTCTCTGTCATTCATATATCTTCATTTATTTGCGAGCAATCTTATACATCCTTGGGATAGACTTTATTTATTTTCCTGAATTTGAGAGGAAATTTTTGAAATTTTTATAAAACATTATTTAAGCATTACAATTTAAACATATAATATAGAAAAATGTTGAGTCAAATGCAAAAAGGGGAATATTTTTTTTTAAATGCATAATACTGTTTATTTATATCTGTCAGAATAATTTCAAATAAATCCAGTTTTTAAAGTCAACGCTTTTTCCGCCCTTTTCTTTTTTACTGATTCAACAATGTTTGTATTACAGGTTATCGAATTAGAAATGATGGATCATAGTGGAAAATTTATCAGATGTTCTCGCAGTGAAAATAAGGAAATATTTTTGGCAGCTGTTTGTGGACTTGGTGCTATTGGTATTATTTTAACTGTCACTTTACAGTGTGAATCAGCATTTAATCTAGAGCAAAGACAGTTTGGAACAACATTAAAAGATGTTAGTATTAATTTAAATTTTGAAATAATAATAATAATCAAAAGATATTTATAGAAGAAAATGCTTTAGATTAGTTTAAAAATTTTAATAAATTAATTTCACTATACAATGTATGAATAATTATTAAGTACTTTGTAAGCAGAAACTGTTCTTGCAGAGTATCAAAAACACAAACAATAAAAATTTAAGGTTCTGGGATTTTCAAGCTCTAATATTTATCTTCAGGAACATAGAATGGAACTTTGTATGAATTCCTGAAGTTGGATGTTACAGTATGGAAATAGAATGTTAAAATTTTATTATTTTTTGTTTTAGTGATAAAGTAATTTTTACTTACTAGCAGTTTTGGAGATAATTTTCAGATTTTTTAAAAACTTTTAATATTAAAAACAAAAATGCTTTTTCTGTTTACAGAACAATATTATGCATAACTTTGCTTGATCCATTCTTTATTAAATATTTAAATATATGATGATAATTGCCAGTCTGTTCAAACCGACTTTTAATTATCAAATAAACTTCAAGTCAAATACTTCAAATCAAATAATAAAATAAAACTAGTGAATTGATTAAATTGTTTTACAATTTCTAAATTAATAATTAAAGTAAATTATCTCTAAAGTTAAGAAAGAGTCAGTTTATTTTTAATTTTGGACTTATTTTTATTAGATTTAAAAACAAGGTGAAATAAACCAATATTCAGCACAAAAATATAAGACAGCTAACATTTTTGCCCGTTTAACACAGGTGAAAACGTCAGCTGGCTTACTTTTTGTGCTGTATCTTAGATTATTTCACCTTGATTATTAAGTATAACTATTTTTTAGTGGTTGATTTTATTTAAAAATTAAAAAATACCAATTCTGAATGGAATTTGAATTTTCAATTTATAATGTGTTGTATAGACAGTTATTTATTAAAGTAGCAACACATAACTGTGTTTCTTTTTAATGATACAGTAATTCCTTTACTTTTTAAATTACATATAACTGAATATAATAGAAAATAGATATAAACTTCTCAGTTACCTAATATATGTTTTAATCATTCAACCTGTTATTAATTGTAGCATAAGATTGACTGAATAATTTGGCTGATGGTTGGATGATTAATTAATTAATTAAAAAATCCTGCAGTTTGCAAAAATACATGGTAGTCCAGAATTGTGATATAACATCACAGTGGTTAAAATAGTGGAAATGCTTACTTAATTGTCTTCAAAGTAGGACTTTCAGCATACACATACCATACTTGTTCCATTGATCCTGCCATTGCAGAATTTGTGAGTTTGGCCATTGCATTCTATTTGGTGTCCTCGGTGGTTGTGAAATACATCCCATTGACACCCATTTTCCACTTTAACAGTGTGTTACTGATCATTTCTATGTGCAAGATATGGTGCTAGATGCAGTTTGGAGGAAACAATGCAACAAATGTCAGAGGAGGGTGGTTTCTGCATCATGAAAGCACATCAAGTTGCTCATCACTTGTTGTGCAGCAAGACTTCCCATTATTGCCCAACCACAAACTCATTGGATCTTGCTCTCAGTGACTTTTGGCTGTTCTTTATGGTAAAAATGAGTCTCAAGGGGACATGTTTTGCAACCATAGAGAACAGCAAATCAAATGTGACAGCTGAACTTTTTAATATTCCAAATGAAACATTCAAACATTGCTTTCAGCAATGGCAGGATTGATGGGCAATTTCTGTGTGTTCATGCTGAAGGGTATTACTTTTAGGTAAGTGTTTTCATATAACTTACCATTACAGTGCTATACCATAAATTCAAGAACTTTTTGACTGCCTGTGTGTTGTTTATTTTTTTTATTTTCAGCATCCTGAATATTCTTTACTGTTAATATTGTTAATTATCAATGTGTTTGTTATCATTTTATTGTTTGAGCATTGTCAGAATTGGAAACTATTTTTTCTTTATAAGCGAGTTTACTAATAAATTTATTTTTTCTTTGTATGTATTAGGTATTGGAACACTTAGATTTGCATGTGAATGGTTCTGAGCATTTTAAATTCACTTGGTTTCCTCACACAGATGGTGTTGTCGTGAGTCATGTTAATCGAACAGACAAGGTTTGTTTGTTTTTTTTTTTTTCATTTTATTTAATATTTTATAATAAATAAATATTAATTTTAATTATCTGTTTAGCCTGTTGCAGAGGTGTCANGCCAGCTAATGTCTAAAGCAGGGGTGTCCAACCCGCGGCCCGCATGCGGCCCAATAAACATGTAAACAAAACCGACAAATTTTATTATTAATTTATTTAAAGTAAAATATATGCTTTGCACTCCAAATTATTAGTGTTTTGCCTTAATACTTATTACTATAATCTAGACATGTAAATCCTTAAATATACAAGTATATTTAAGGATTGGGCCACAATAAACTTGTTGACTATGACTTCTTCCAATGTGGCCCAGAGAAACAGAAAGGTTGGACACCCCTGGTCTAAAGCATTCGTTAATCGGATTTACGAGCTAAAACTGGAGGAACTTGATGAAGAGCCCAGAAGGGGTTCGAAAATGTTTGTTTTTGTACTTGTTAGTCGATCGTACCATACCGTAAATTGGTTCAGTGTAGATATTGTTCTAATTTGAAATAATGTCTTTTATCTGTGTTTATCCATATTGCCCAATGAAGCACCTTCAATAGCCACCAGACTTTACATCCATCTTTATTCTGCTGTTTAGGTGTCAATATGCATTTTGGGCTGTAGCCCCTCTTCTGTTGGCTACAGAATTATATTAGTTTTACAATAATATAAAACTGCAATAAAATTTGTTTTAAAAATGTACCTCTGTTATTTCTTATTCAACACATTGTATAAAACACACAAACACATCACATTCTTGCCTGTTTAAAAATGCCTAGAACAACTAAAAACTCAAATTAAAGATTAATAAAAATATGAATTGTTAAAAGTTCATTAAACACTTATGGAAACGAAAGGTGGAAGCATAGCTCATAAGAGTGTAACAAGAACTAAGAATGTAGTGTCGTTACACTACATTCTTAGTTTTTGTTACACTCTTATGAGCTATGCTTCCACCTTTCGTTTCCATAAGTGTTTAATGAACTTTTAACAATTCATATTTTTATTAATCTTTTCTTTTATTTCTAAGAATGTAGTTTCGTTTTGACATTACAAATCAAAAAACTTGTATGTATACATCAGCGTTAACTTACATTTTTAGTTGTTCTAGGCATTTTTAAACAGGCAAGAATGCCATGTGTTTATATGTTTTATACAATGTGTTGAATAAGAAATAATAAAGAGGTACATTTTTAAAACAAATTTTATTGCAGTTTTATATTATTGTAAAACTAATATAATTCTGTAGCCAACAGAAGAGGGGCTAGAGCCCAAAATGCATATTGACACCTAAACAGCAGAATAAAGATGGATGTAAAGTCTGGTGGCTATTGAAGGTGCTTCATTGGGCAATATGGATAAACACAGATAAAAGACATTATTTCAAATTAGAACAATATCTACACTGAACCAATTTACGGTATGGTACGATCGACTAACAAGTACAAAAACAAACATTTTCGAACCCCTTCTGGGCTCTTCATCAAGTTCCTCCAGTTTTAGCTCGTAAATCCGATTAACGAATGCTTTAGACCAGGGGTGTCCAACCTTTCTGTTTCTCTGGGCCACATTGGAAGAAGTCATAGTCAACAAGTTTATTGTGGCCCAATCCTTAAATATACTTGTATATTTAAGGATTTACATGTCTAGATTATAGTAATAAGTATTAAGGCAAAACACTAATAATTTGGAGTGCAAAGCATATATTTTACTTTAAATAAATTAATAATAAAATTTGTCGGTTTTGTTTACATGTTTATTGGGCCGCATGCGGGCCGCGGGTTGGACACCCCTGCTTTAGACATTAGC